ACTTCAAGTGGATAGCAGGCGCACAAGGCGCGCGAACAAGAAATATACGGAGTTGTCGGAGCCGATTAGCACGGTTATGTCTAAAGTTCAACACCTTCCGTTCTTCAAATGGCCACCCAAAATAGTGGGACTTCTCGACACAAGGAGACGAGATAGGTGGTGCGAATACCACAATGACCACGGTCATGATACCGACAGCTGTTATGCATTGAAGGATCACCTTGAGGAGTTGGTACAAGACGGTTGGCTTAAGCAACACATCTGAAAGAACAACTCAACTAAAACAGTTGCTTTACGGCAGGATTCACCTCTACTCGGCGTAATCCATATGATATACAGCTTGCCAATGGCATCCGCGGTACATATAATTCAGTCGCATCCTATCCTTCAAAAGCAAATCACACCAGCGAAACGGCCCCATGAAGCTACGAGTATTTCTTTCGATGATTCTGATTTGGTCAGCGTAACGCTCCCCCACACTAGTCAACCATTTGTCAATAACCATTTCATTCAAATCATGTGGCACATCCAGAAGAGTAATAATGCTTTAATAACAATGGGACCGCGAGGGTCAATCGATTTTCAATATTCAATGTGACCATGAAGGTCTAACATCAGAGATCTCTGTACTTCAATTATCCAGTGGGCCATGGTATTGTTTTCCCTAGGCGAGAGCCAATGGGCCATGGTATTAATCTCCCCCAGGCACGGGTCAACGGGCCATGGTATTAATCTCTCCCAGGAAAGGGCCTCGCTAAAGGATGCCATGATTACAAATTCAAATAGAACTTCATTCATTAAGGATAAGTAGTACTTCAATAAATCATTCAATCATTCATATATCAATTTCGATGACCAATACCATTTTTGAAAGTAACATAACTTGAACATATCTTTATAAAGTAATTACTCATAGTGGGTAATGTTGTCACTAGGCCTTGGATGTCCACCTATACAAAACACATAACAAAAATACAATTGGAGTAAAGTTCAATAGCCATTCCACTTTAATTAAATTTTCGTCATGTGTTTCTAACTCATTCCTTGTTTATATGATCTCAATTGGTGCCTAAGAGTACTTGAAATGACATGAAAATGTAAGCGTGCACTTAAAAGAGTTAGTCAAAATTTACTGAAAACAAGGTCCTCGCTCGAGTGTAACTACCTTTGCTTGAGCGAGGGTTCAAAAATAAGGGTGGTGCTCGAGCCCAACTTCGGTCACTTGAGCGATCTGTAAACTCTGTTAAAATACTGGTTACAAGAATTTTTCGCTCGATAGACGCTCGACAGTCGCTTGAGCGAAAGACTGAGTAAATAGGGTCCTTGCTCGAGCGCAACTTTGGTTGTTAGAGCGGTCTGCAAAATTTCGCAAATCTACTGGGAGCTCAATTTTTACGCTCGAGTAGACAAGCCAAATTCTGGAATTTCCAGAACTATGTTTGAAGTTCAAATTTGATATTCAAAGGTCCAAAACTTGTATGTTTGGTACAAAAACATGGGAAAACATTTTAGAACTTGAAAATATAGTCAATTTGAAACCAGTTGCTCAAATCATGGGCCCAATTCTCAAAATCAAACTTAAATCATGAAGTTAGAACCATGCATGACACGTATTGCCCTCATTTAGTTTCAAATCTTTTCAAAACTTGATCAAATGGCATGACAAGTGTAAAAACATGAAGAACTCTTTAAATGAATGTGTAAAAGTTCCATGCATGTACGAATTCATAGAAAATTGAACTCAAAGATGAAAAATTATGCATGCATGTATGTTATTATACTCAATTCTTCCATAATCAAGTCAATTCTTTCTACTTACATGAAAACAGACTCATAACGTCTTGAATTCATGACCTACATGTTTTATTTTCAAGATTTAAGGAGGAATTCCATACCTAGGATGTGAATTCAAGTGTATCCTAGTTTGATCCTTCAAGTTCTCTACCAATTCCCTTCAATTTATCCTTACTTTCTCTCTCTCTGAGTTGAGCTCTTCTTCTCTCTCTCTCTTAAAATCTTAGCCAAATTATGTATTTAAGGCCAAGTAAGGATTATATCACTTATATATGCATGTGATTAGCTTAGCCTAATTATATGTGATTAAGGTTGGTTAATTATGGTCAACTCTGACTAAGTTCAATTAGTTTATTCTAATTATTTTGGTCTGAATCAAATTTTGACGAAAGCTGTCATAAACTTCTAAATATTCTAATTAGCCTATTAGACTAGTCAATTTTAGCTTCTGAAGCCGTTTAGGCTTTCAATTTCTGATTCTAAGTTGATAAGTGAATAGGTATTCCAAGTAATAACAGATAACTACAAAATTAAGCATATGACCACACAATTAAACACACAATCATGCAATTAAACTTATTGAATCAATATAATATAATAGTACGGAGGTCGAGGTCATCACAATCTCTCCCCCTTAGAAAGTTTGGTCTTCCAAACTTAAGTTACCTTGAAACGGAAACAAATATGGATATCGTTGCCGCATCTCATCCTCTTTTTCCCAAAATGGCCTCTTTCTCATGACGGTCTTTCCACTCAACCTTCACCATAGGGATAGTTTTGTTTCTTAATTGTTTCACTTGTCGATCAATGATTTGCATAGGCTATTCTTCATAAATCATATTCTCATCTAAAGCAATCTGATGGTGGTTAATCACATGGAACGGATCTTTAAGATACCGACGAAGTATGGATACATGGAAGACATTATGCATTTGTTTCATTCTAGGTGGCAAAGCGATACGGTAAGCAACAGGACCCAACCTCTCAAGAATCTGAAACGGCCCAATGTAACAAGAGGTCAGTTTTCCCTTTTTGCCAAATCTCATCTATCCTTTCATTGGTGTTACTTCGATAAATACATGATCCCCTGCTTCATATTCTAAGTCTCTTCTTCGTTGGTCCACATAACTTTTCTGTCGACTCTGTGCAGTCTTGAGCCTTTGCTAAATGATTTTGATCTTTTCGATTGTTTCTTGCACAAGTTCGGTCCCATAAATAATCTTATCACCAACTTCTGTCCAACAAATTGGCGATCTACACTTTCTATCATAGAGTGCCTCATATAGTGCCATACCAATGCTAGCGTGAAAACTGTTGTTATAAGCAAACTCAGCCAATGGCAAATACGTTTCCCAGCTGCCCTGAAAGTCCAAAACACACATACAAAGCATGTCTTCTAAGGTCTGAATAGTCCTTTCGGTTTGCCTATCAGTTTGTGGATGAAATGTTGTACTAAATCTCAATTCTATTCCCATTGCATCCTGTAGACTATGCCAAAATCTAGAAACAAATTTAGGATCTCTATCTGATACAATGGACACTGGAACCCTATGCAATCGAATAATTTCATCAATGTAGATAGTAGCAAGTCTATATGCAGTAAAAGAAGTCCTTACAACAAGAAAATGAGCAGACTTAGTCAGTCTATCAACTATAACCCAAATAGAATCCATACCTCTAGGCGTTCGAGGTAGGCCAACAACGAAGTCCATGGTGATATGTTCTCATTTCCATTCCGGAATAGGGAGAGACTGAAGCAAGCCTGCCGGTTTCTGATGCTCCGCTTTCACTTGATGACATTGTAAGCACTTAGAATTAAAGTCAGCAATGTCTCTTTTCATGTTGGGCCACCAATATACTAACTTCAAATCTTGGTACATTTTAGTATTTCCTAGATGCATGACAAACACTAACTTGTGAGCTTCCTTCAAAATTTTTCTTTTTAAAGCTACATCGTTAGGAATACATAACCTCTCTCAAAATTTCAACATGGAATCTTTAATTGTGAACCCCAGTTCAGGCCTGGTGTCAAATTCATTATAAATCTTCTTTAAAAACTCATCATTCTTTTGCTTTTGTTTGATTTCTTCAATAATTGTCGATTGTGCAGACATTGCAGCTATCAAGCTATCTTGTTCAAAAGATACCACTTCAATTTCAAGTCCTTCAAACTTGAATAGCAATTCTTTCTAATCTGTGAGCAAACAGGCTAAATTCCCCCACATTCTTTCTACTGAGTGAACTTGCTACAAAGTTGGCTTTGCCTGGATTGAGTGAATCTGTCAATCATAGACCTTGATCAGTTCAAGCTAATGTCTTTGTCTCATGTTCAATTCCTTTTGGGTAAAAAAGTACTTTAAGCTTTTGTGATTGGTGTACACTTCACATTTGGTTCCATACTGACAATGACGCCATATTTTCAATGCAAACACAATCGTGACAAGTTCTAGGTCATGTGTTGGATAGTTTTTCTCATATGGTCTCAGTTGACGGGAGGCATAGGCAATCACCCTACCATTCTGCATTAAAACACAACCCAAACCCTTATAAGATGCATCACTATAAATTATAAATCCTTCCATAGTTGAGGGTACGGTAAGGATTGGAGTTGTGGTCAATCTTGTCTTTAGTTCTTGAAATGCAGATTCTTTTTTGGTCTGTCTATTCAAACGGTTCTCCCTTCTGAGTCAATTAGGTCAATGGCACTACAATCTTTGAGAAATCTTTAACAAACCTCCGATAATAACCAGCCAGTCCCATAAAACTACAAACATCTATCACATTAGTCAAAGTAGGCCAACCAACAATTGCTTCAATTTTTTGAGGATCAACTAAGATACCATTTCTGTAAATAACGTGTCCCAAAAATGTTATTTCATCAAACCAAAACTCACACTTCTTTAATTTCCCATACAGTTGCTTTTCTCTAAGTGTTTGAAGAGTCATTTTCAAATGTTGCTCATGCTCATCTTTACTTTTTGAATAAATCAAAATGTCATCAATGAATACAATAACAAAGTCATCTAGGAAAGGTTTGAAAATCTATTCATCAAATCCATAAAGGCTGAGGGCACATTAGTGACTCCAAAAAGCATGACTAAAAACTTGTTATGTCCATACCTAGTTCAAAAAGTAGTCTTTTCAATATCTTCAGCCCTCATTTTCAATTAATGATAGCCTGATCTCAAATCAATTTTTGAAAATACCTAGGCCCCCTGTAACTGGTCAAATAAATCATCAATACGTGGCAACGGATATTTATTCTTCACTGTTACCTTATTGAGTTCTCTGTATTCAATACAGAGTCGAAAGGTCCCATCTTTCTTCGTCACAAAAAGAACTGGCGCTCCCCACGACGAAGTACCTGAACGAATAAATCCTTTATGAAGCAATTCCTGCAACTGAGTTTCCAATTCTTTCATTTCAATAGTGGACATACGGTAGGGAGTTTTAGAAATTGGTTGTGTGCCCAATATTACATCAATTGTAAATTCAATCTCTCTAATAACAAGTTGGCTAGGTAATTCGTCTGAAAACACATCAGGAAAATCTTTCACCACTAGTATATTGTCTAGAATAAAGTCCATAGTTGGTTCGGTTGTTACACTACACAAATACCCTTGACAACCCTTATTGATTAGTTTTCGGGCTTTCATGGCAGATATAAGGTATGGTGGTGGAACTACCCCTTTTTCCTCAAAATAAAATTCGTCTTGCCCGGGAGGTCGGAATATTACTCGTTTCAAAGCACAATCAATAGTTGCATAGTATTTAGTTAGCCAATCCATACCCAAAACAACATCAAAATGTCTTATATCTAAAGGTAGTACATCAACATACAAAACAACATTCCTGAGAAATAATTCACATGCAGCAAATACAGTTGAGCATAACATGGATCCCCCTGTAGGTGATGCAACACATAATATATAACTCAATGTTTCCATAAGTCTATTCAAAGTTTCAATAAAAACCATAGAAACAAACGAATGTGTAGACCCTGAATCAATTAAAGCATAAGCAGGTCTACCACATATGGAGAGTGTATCTGACACTATTGCCTCAGCATTTTGAGTGTCCCCCGGATTAGTGCAAAGACTTTTCCTTGCCTCTACTTATTTTTTGTGGTAGACAGTGTTGCAGCTGGTTTTGTTATGGGAATTGATCCAATTGAGCTTGTGGCACCTCGATTATCACCCTGATGTGATTGTGTACAATCTTTCTCCACGTGTCTTATCTTTCCACACTGGTAACAAGCCCCCATAGTGCGATAGCAAATACCTCGGTACTTTTTTCCACAAACGGTGCAAGTAGGTATTGAGTTGCCACTTTGGGTTGGCCCCGAATTATTGGAATTCCTAGACTTTAACTTATTGTTTGTTGATGTCATCCCCTTATTAAAATTTTGTCTTCTGCCCTTCCATTCGAAATTTTGTTTACAGTTAGCCACATTTCCCTCTACTAGTAATGCCCTATCAAGCACATCCGCATAAGTCAGTAATTTGAGTACATTGATCCTATCTAGGATTGGGTCACGCAAACCTCCCTCAAATTGTCTAGCTTTCTTGTAATCTGTATCTACCATGTAGGGTGCGAAGCGAGCTAACTCAGTAAACTAAGCCTCATACTCAGCAACTGATTTGTTTCCCTGCTTGAGTTCCATGAACTCAGATACTTTTATGTCCCGTACACATTGCGGAAAGTATTTCTCGTAAAAGATCTCTAGAAAACGAGCCTAAGTAATATCCTTATTCTCATCTCGAACCAATATCCACCAACGCCTTGCATCATCTTCTAATGTGAATGCAGCTAGTTATACCTTTTGAGCTTCGGTACATGGGAATACTTCAAACAACTTCTCAATCCCTAATACCCAAGCTTCGGCCTTCAATGGTTTAATTCCACCATGAAACACTGGTGGCTTCATCTTTTTGAATTCTCTAGTCAAAGCAATAGTACAGTCCCCCATCTGACACCCTGGAGCTGGAGGTAGCATAGGCATTGGGGGCAGAGGTGGCAGTTGTTGTTGTTGTTGTTGCCACTACTGTTGTTGTCTTATGGCTTTAGCCATGTCCTGCATCATTCGTTCCATTCTATCCAATCTTGAGGAGGTTGCTTCCTCTAGCTCATCACCTCTTGTTTTCACCATTTTCTATATGAATCTTGTATTATGACAAACACAATATATATTCATGCACACAATTGCATATATAATCACGAAATTATCTCACTCAAAATTTCAAATGCACATGAAGGCAATCCTGAAATCTTTTCTAGACTCTCTATAGCTCAATGAACCAATGAGTGAGATATAACTCGTGCTCTCATACCACTCTGTCATGCCTCAAACCCGCCCCAATAGGTTTAGCGTCATGACCGGCCAGTACTCTTAGATTACCTACGGCCTCCAGTAATAAAATTGATTTAACAAGAATTATGGGGCTTAGCGGAAGAAAATTAAAATATAGAAGTAATCCATTGAGCTGTGCATATATGAAAAGAGTTTGCATTAACACTGTACAACCATTCATTAGGTAAATGCATACGTCACAAAAGTTTTTAAAACAACATTCAGCCTACAATTTCAAACTTGTCAAGTCTTACATACACAAAACCCCTATACCAAAAACCAAGCTAAGAGTTCATAACCAAAAGGGGTTTAGTCTATGCTTGGCTCCACACGAGTCCAAGTTAGCTCACTCTTGGGAGCTCCACAAAAGGCTAACCACTGGGTGACTCTGAGGCACTCTCTATCCTTGATACTCAACTTGCTCACCTACATATATATACATAAATAGTGAGCTAATTCCCAATAAGTAATAACAGAATAAAGAGGTTATATGAATGAAGATCGATATCATTACAAATGTCATTTTCACATATCTAGACAACCATTTATCAATAACCATTCCATTCAAATCATGTGGCACATCCAATAGAGTAATAATGCTTTAATAACAATGGGACCGCAAGGGTCAATCGATGTTTAATATTCAATGTGATCATGAAGGTCTAACATCAGAGATCTTTGTGTTTCAATTATCCAATGGGCCACTGTATTGTTTTCCCCGGGCGAGGGCCAATGGGCCATGGTATTAATCTCCCCCAGGCAAGGGTCAATGGGCCATGGTATTAATCTCCCCTAGGCAAAGGCCTCGCTAAAGGATGCCACGATTACAAATTCAAATAGAACTTCATTCAACAAGGATAAATAGTACTTCAATAAATCATTCAATCATTCGTATATCAATTTCGATAACCAATACCATTTTTGAAAGTAACATAACTTGAACATATATTTATAAAGTTATTACTCACAGTGTGTTATGTTGTCACTAGGCCTCAGACATCCACCTATACAAAACACATAACAAAAATACAATTGGAGTACTGTTTGATAACCATTCCGCTTTAATTAAATTTTCCTCATGTGTTTCTAACTCATTCCATGTTTATATGAGCTCAATTGGTGCCTAAGAGTACTTTAAATGACATGAGAATGTAAGCATACACTTAAAATAATTAGTCAAAATTTGCTGAAAATAGGGTCCTCGCTTGAGCACAACTTCCTTCGCTTGAGCGAGGGTTCAAAAATAAGGGTGGTCGCTCAAGCGGTCTGTAAACTCTACAAAAGTATTGGTTGCAAGAATTTTCTGCTCGATAGACGCTCAACAGTTGCTCAAGCTGAAGACTGGTCTGCAAAATTTTGCAAAACTATTAGGAGCTCGATTTTTACACTCGAGCGACACTTTCTTCGCTCGAGCGGACAGGCCGAATTTTGGAATTTCAAGAACTGTGCTTGAAGTTCAAATTTGATATTCAAATGTCCAAAACTTGTATTTTTGGTACAAAAACATGGGAAAACATTTTAGAACTTGAAAATATAGTCAATTTGAAACCAATTGCTCAAATCATGGACCCAATTCTCAAAATCAAACTTAAATCATGAAGTTGGAACCATACATGACATGTATTGCCCACATTTCTTTTCAAATCTTTTCAAAACTTGATCAAATGGTATGACAAGTGTAAAAACATGAAGAACTCTTTAAATGAATGTGTAAAAGTTCCATGCATGTAAGAATTCATAGAAAATTGAACTCAAAGATGAAGGATTATGCATGCATGGATGCTATTATACTCAATTCTTCAATAATCAAGTCAATTCTTTCTACTTACATGCAAATAGACTCATAACTTCTTGAATTCATGACCTTCATGTTTTATTTTCAAGATTTATGGAGGAATTCCATACCTAGGATGTGAATTCAAGTGTATCCTAGTTTGAACCTTCAAGTTCTCTACCAATTCCCTTCAATTTCTCCTTGCTCTCTCTCTCTCTAAGTTGAGCTCTTCTTCTCTCTCTCTCTTAAAATCTCAACCAAATTATGTATTTGAGGCCAAGTAAGGATTATATCACTTATATATACATGTGATTAGCTTAGCCTAATCATATGTGATTGAGGTTGGTTAGTTATGGTCAACTCTAACTAACTTCAATCAGTTTATTCTAATTATTTTGGTCCGAATCAAATTTTGACGAAAGTTGCCATAAAATTCTAAATATTCTAGTTAGCTTATTGGGCTAGTCAATTTTAGCTTTTGAAGCCGTTCGGCCTTTCAATTTTTGATTCTAAGTCGATAAGTGAACAAATATTCCAAGTAATAATAGATAACTACAAAATTAAGCATGTAACCATACAATTAAACACACAATCATGCAATTAAACTTATTGAATCAATATAATATAATAGTACGAAGGTCGGGTTGTCACATGTAGCCTACAAAAACTCTTATTCCACTTGATCATGAAGCCTTAGTTCCAATAAAGTTTAATACATTCTCTTTTCTCAACTATTGGTGCAAACATCAATGGAAAAAGTTGCTTTGTCAGAGGTTGACACAGCTGAAGGTTTACCAGAAGCTACTACCCTCACAACTCTTGCAGAGATAGCTGCTTCTAAAGTTTTACCAAAGATTAATCTTACTGAGACCTCTCAATCAAAAGATCTTCTTTCTCCTAGGATCACCTCTACCTCTCAAATGCAATAGCCAACTACAAGGAGAGAGAGCTCCCTTATTCAAATCAGTATTGGTGAAGTCGTAGAGATGATAGAATTAGAGTTATTAGTATTTGAACAAGAAGTCAAACAGCTTATAACACCTACTACTGTTCATGTGCCCTTAACTACTGAGAGTGATTCCTCTTCTACTGGCAAACTCCTTTATTAGCCAACTCTCTTTTGACTCAACCTTTACTTCTCAATATTTAACTATTAAGGTCTGCACTAGGCTACTGAAGGATTTCTCTAGAATGTCCTTATTGTCTTTAAGGAATCCCACTTTCAAATAAGGGTTCATCTTGTGCTACCAGTCTTTGATCCATCACCAATCACCTCTGTATCATGTGTTCCTACAAGCAATGTCATCTTTGGACTTTTTCCTCTACCTTAATGAGCTTGGTTTACATTCTCAGCAATAACTTATACAAGACCAAGCTCTTGTGAGTATGCAAAAGCTTCAGCTTAACAGAAAACTCTTCTTGCAGGAAAAGAAGCTCTAGAGAAAGAACTCGTAGAGGTGAAAGCAGCCTTGGCCACCAACCACGGGAAGATGCACATTTCAAGTACTAAACTTGTGACGACCCCAGCCTCCGAACTATTATATTATATTGTTTCAATAAGCTTAATTGTATGATTGTGTGTTTAAGTATGTGATTACATGCTTAATTTTGTAGTTATCTGTTCTTACATGGAATATTTGTTCACTTATCGACTTAAAATCAGAAATTGAAAGCCTAAATGGTTTTAGAAGCCGAAATTGACTAGCCCAATAGGCTAATTAGAATATTTAGAATTTTATGGCAACTTTTGTCAAAAGTTGATTCAGACCAAAATAATTAGAATAAACTGATTAAACTTAGTTAGAATTAAGCCTAATTAATTAACCTTAATCAACTTTGATTAAGCTAAGCTAATTACTCCCTATATAAGCCTAATACACCTTTTGAACTCACATATACAAACACATGGGCTGAGATTTTAAGAGAGAGAGAAGGAGAACTCAACATTTAGAGAGAGAACAAGGGAGTATTGTTAATTTGTGGAAGATTTGGAGATTGGAGCCATAATACACTTGAATTCACACATTAGGTATGAAATTCATCCTAAATTCTTGGAATTGAGTCATGTAGAAACTGAGTTCATGGAGTTATAGGATCATTTGCTTGAAATTGAGTAGGTTGAGCATGAATTACCATGAATATGATGAATTTGAGTTGAATTATGCACATCCATGCTTGATCTTTCATTTTTGAGTTAAGATTTCTTAAAATTCATACATGCATGAAGCTTAGAAGGCATGAACTTGAAGAACATCCATGGATTCATGCATTTCATGTCACTTTGTAGTGTTTTGAAAGGAAGAGGACTCAATCCATAACATGCATGGTTTTAACTTGATAGTATAAGTTTGAATTTGGACAATTGGAGCATGATTTTGAATAAATGATTTCGAAGTGGAAGTGTCTTCATGTTATACAAAGTTTTTCTTGTGCCAAAAACACAAGTTTTGGACATTTGAATATCAAGTTTGAAGTTCAAACACAATTCTGGAAATTCCAGAATTCGACCAGTTCACTCGAGCGAGGAAAGCTTCACTCGAGCGTAAAATTCATGCTCCCAGCATTTTTGCAGACATTTGCACTGTAGCTCGAGCGGCAAAGTGCACGCTCAAGTGAACTCACTTTTATTCAGTCTTTGGCTCGAGCGACCGTTGAGCGTAAAATTCAAGCAACCAGTACTTTTGTAGAGTTTACAGACTGCTCGAGCGACCGAAGTTGGGCTTGAGCGACCACCCTTATTTTTGAACCCCTGCTCGAGCGAGGATCCTGTTTTCAGCAAATTTTGACTAACTCTTCTAAGTGCATAATTGCATTCTCATGTCATTTCTAGCATTCTTAAGCACCAAATGGACTCATATAATCATAGAATGAGGTAGAGACACATGTGAAGAATTGAATTAAAATGAAATGGTGCTTCAATTGTGCTTTTGTTATGTGTTTTGTTTAGGTGGACGTCTGAGGCTTAGTGGCAACACAAACTACTATAAGTAGTAACTTTATAAAGATATGTTCATGTAACATTTATTTTTGAAATTGTTATTACTCCCGAAATCAATATGTAATTGATTGACTGGTTTATTAAAATGTTACTTTCTATCGATGAATGAAGTACACTTTTGAAATTATATAGCGGCATCCATTGATTATGGGCCCTTGCCTAGGGGTAACAATACCATGGCTATTGGATTAATTGAAACACAGAGATCTTTTGTTTGAACCTTCGTAGTCCATTGGTTTGACCCTTCGTGCTCCATTGGTTTTGACCCTTCGCAGTCCATTGGTTTGACCCTTCGTGGTCCCTTGGATTTTGACCCTTCGTGGTCCAATAGATTGACCCTTCGTGGTCCATTGGTTGACCTTTCGTAGTCTATTGGCTTGACCTTTATGGTCCATTATTATTGGAATATTATCACTTCATGGATGTACCACTTAATTTAATATTGAAAGGTATCGATAATGAAATTTATTGGTTAATGAGAATTGATTATTGAGATCTAGTTTGACAATGTTATCAAACTTCATTTATCTAACCTCTTTATTCTGTTATTTCCCATTGGGCCCTAGCTCACTAATTATTTATATATATGTAGGTAGGCAAGCTGAACATCAGAGTTAGAAAAACCCCGAGTATACCCGAGTCAGCCTTTTGAGGAGCTTCCAAGGGAAGTGAACCAGGCTCTGTTGGAGGCATGCTAGTTAGACCCTCTTTTTGTTTGTTCATTGGTTTTGTATTTGTGTATGATTGGGGTTTGTATAACTATAAGACATGAATGTTTGTACAAATGTGATGAATGTACGTTTAGAGCAAATCTTTGCTTATAATACGAAGCTCTTTTCATATACGCATGACTCAATGGATAAATGTTATGTTATATTATACTTCCACTAAGCCCCGTACTTTATATTTAATGGATTATTGGTATGGAGGTCGTAGGTAATCTATGATTACTGACCGGTCATGATGCTAAACCTATACGGGCTGGTTTGGGTCGTGAAAAAACTAGTGGACCTTAAGGTTGATTTGTTCAAGTCACTTGAGCTACTTCCTTCTATAGATAATAGGAAGCTTATTGTATAGGAACAACTTAAGCAATATAAGATATTTTAGACCCAACTATGGGCTCCTATGCAATTTCCATCAAATAAATGAAAATTATACTTATTAACTTATCCTGTGTTGTTTTACTTATGCTTATCTATTGTCAACTTTCAATTCCTTGTTGCATGAAGTTTCCCAAACAGTTGAAAAATATTCTTTCAAGAATTTACTATTGATTTTCCTTTGATGTATGAAACCATTAAGGTTCCTTAAGTGATAAGCACCATTTAGAAGCACTTTATGGACTTGAAATTAATGGTGCTTCCTAATTAGGTAACCATTTACCAAATTTGTGACTTTTGATGCCAGAGGGTAATATGATTTTCCATACCAAATCACCTTTATCAAAGCTTTGTTGATGTACCCTATTATTGTAGCACCTTGCAACCTTTTGCTTTTGGATTAATATTTTGTTTAAGGCCAAAATTCTGGCTTCGTAATGCCCTCAAATTCCATTCACATGCTTTGACTATACCAATCTTTGTCGCAATAATTTTGTGCTTTGGCCCTCAAAGAATTAATGTTCATTTCAATTGGAAGTACAACATCATGCCTATAAACTAAGGCAAACGATGCGACTCAGTACTTGATATTTTTGAAGTTCTATAAGCCAATAAAACTTCTAAGAATATATTATGCCAATTCTTGAGATTATTTTCAATCATTTCTTGAATCCCTCTTGTAATGGCTTTATTGAATGACATTGCTTGTCCATTAGCCTGAGCATAATAAAAAGTGGATTTAATTATGCTTATGCCAAGGTTCCCAACAAAAGCTTTTACTAAACCATCCTCGAATACTGTTCCATTATCAACAGTGATAGTTTGGGGAATACCAAACCTATGAACTAAATCTTCAATGAAGCTAATTACCTCACCTTGGTCTATAGATTTATAAGGTTTTGCTTCAACCCACTTTCACTAAAATGAAGCAATGATGCTTCAATGATGGAGGGTGAATCTTTCCAATCATGTTCATTGCCAATCCCCTAAAGGGCCAAGGCTTGATTATTGAATGTAATTCATCTACTAGTACATGCCTAATCATTCCATATTTTTGGCATACTCAATACAGTCCTTAAGTATACTTGGCTAATAATATAAATGCCTCCTCAATAACCATCTCATTTTAACCCCTAGCTGATGAGTACCACAAATGCCCTCATGAATCCATAGTTTGTTCTAGTCTATTTGCTCCTCTTTTGTAGAGGCTATTATCATATAGGATATAATTTATTGACCACAACTTGACAGCTCTACTAGCTTTTGCATCTAGACTAGAAAAATATTGAATAATTGGGTGTCTCCAATCATCTTCTAGTACATCCGATGCATAGGCTTTCATTAATAATTTGATTTCTTCCAAAGGTAGAAGCCTTTTTTTAAAATAAGCATGAGATGAATTTGCCTTATATTCACATTTTCTCTTGTAATTCGAATCTATTTGTGTTACTTCATTCTATTCATTCATAAATCTAGGAATATGTGATATTACTAGATCCTTGAAATGAGAACTCAAGTATAAAGTAGCCACATAAAAATACCATTTAATTAGTTTACCACCAACTGAGAATCCCCAAAAAACTTCTACAACTTCTGCCTTTAGTCATAACAATAGTTCTAACCTTATAATTAAGGCTTCATACTCAATTTGGTTGTTAGAACAATTTGGTTTATCTATTCTAAAACCATGTTTAGTTTGCATGCCGGTTGGAGATTCAATTACAACTCCTACTCTAACCAAACCATTGGTTTTTGAACCATCAAACCATAATTTCCAAGGCACAATACTAATGATGTCTATATCATTTTGGTATCCTTGCTCTTCCTTACATGGATGATCTGCAAGAAAATTTGCCAAAGCCTGTCCCTTAACAAATTTTTGAGGAACATATTCGAGGCAAAATTCTAATAAAGCTAACTCCCATTTACCAATCCTACCACACAAGATAAGCCTTGTTAATATGTACTTGGTTAGATTAGTCGAAGTAATTACATGTACAATTCCAGGCAAAAGGTAATATTTTAATTTGATTGTAGCAAAATACAAGGTCAAACATAGTTTCTTAATAATTGAGTATTTACATTCATAAGAATTTTAAAACCTACTAAGGTAATAAATTGCTTGCTCCGTGCCTTCTTCATTGTCTTGAGCTAAGAATACTCCAATGGATTCTTCCTCTGCTGTTATATACAACTTCAAGGGCTTGTTTTCTCTTGGAGGCATCAACACAAGAGACTTAGCCAAATAGCTTTTGATGGTTTCAAATGATGTCTGATGTTCTGCTTTCCACCTAAACTCCTCATGATCTTTCAGATTTAACAAAAAAGAAAAGGTTTTAGTTTTACCAGCAACATTACCAATAAATCTTCTAAGGGAATTAACTTGCCCAATAAATTTTTGCAATTCTTTCTTACTAGTTGGGGCTTAGCTTCAATGATGGCTTTGGATTTATTTTTGTTAATCTAGATTCCTCTTCTATGGACCATATATGCTAGAAAATTACCAACAAACACACTAAAAGCACATTTCAGAGGGTTAAATTTAAGCTGGTAGTGCCTCATTCTTTTGAATGAAGCTTCCAAATGAGCCAAATGATCTTCAAAGGACTAAAACTTGACTATATTGTTATCAATATAACACTCTAGAAATTCCACAACTAGATCATGAAAAATGGAATTTACAGCTCTTTGATAGGTTGCCCCAGCCTTCTTTAACCCAAGAGACATTTTAACACATTCGAAGGTCTTCAAATTACCTGGACACCTAAAAATTGTCTTGTTAACATCTTCCTTAGCTATGCATATCTAGTTGTACTCAAAATGACCATCCATCATAGACAAGATGGCACGCCTTGCTGATATATCCACAAGTAAATCTACCATTGGCATTGGATATTCATCCTTAGGAGTTGCCAAATTTAGATTTCGAAAGTCAATATAGACTCTTATTTTTCCATTCTTTTTAGTAGCTGGCACAACATTGGAAAGCCATTCAACATACCTGGCCATTCTAATGAACCTAGCTTTTAATAATCTGAAAATTTGTTCTTTGACTTTGATAGTTACCTCTGGACTCATCCTTCAAGGCCTTTGCTTGTGTGGTTTGTAATTAGGCTTGATAGGGAGCCTATATTCCACTAACTGCCTATCCAATCCAGGTAGCTCACTGTAGTCCCAAGCAAAGTAGTCTTTATATTCTTTTAATAAAGGCAACAATCTAACTTTAGAAATTGGATCCATCCAAGAGCTGATGAAGGTTGGAATCGAAGCTACTTTTCCTTCCAAATTCACTTCTTCCAAAGGGTCTTGAGCCTTAGTTGTTAAGCTTTCTAGGACTTCAAACTCTTTTAGTTCTTTAGGTGTCTCAACTTCTTGTTGTTTCCCTTCATCATCTTCATAGGCAAAGTTTGCCTAGAAAATTTCATCTTCATGAATTTTGGCTTCAATATCTAAAGCCAATAAGTTATTCAAAGCCAATAATAAGGCTTGTTACATTGTTTCTGATTTAGGGCCAGTCATTTGACTCATCTCTGTTACATGTTAGCTCATCCAAACCATCTTGGATCATTTTTTCTAGATAAGCCACTTCTTCATCTGTGCCATGTTCTACATCCTTATCCTAAGTCTTCAGTACACTCAAAGGTATCACTCAACTTTGCCTCTACGAAATTTGCATAAGCTGTGAATGGTTAAGGGTCTGCTTGTATCTCCTCTATTTCTTCATCTCCCAAGGCCATGATGATCTTCTAGTGTAATGATGATGGCACACACTTGTTAGTATATATCCAATCTCTTCCTAGCAGGGCATTATCCTTGGCCTTGCTATCCACCACAAAGAAAGCTATAACACAGCTTATGGACTCCACATTGAGGTTGACTGGTTGGATTTCTTGGGCCATTTGTTTATCTCTTGTGAACCCTGCTATGGAGGTGCTAATTGGATTAAGTTTTGGGTTTTTCAAACCCAACTTCTTCAGAGAGGCTTTGGGTAACAAGTTGAATGTTGTTCCATTGTCCACCAACGCCGTACTCATAGTTCTCCATCAAAATGGGCCTTGATGTACAAGGGCTTAATGTGGATGTTTGGGAAATTGCAATTTTAGTAGGCTATTTTAGTTTTTAGCTATTTTAGTAGGCTAAATTTTTTGTGGTTGGAAAGATGATTGGATTTATTTGTAGTTGGATGTAATGTTTATGAGAGGAAAAGTGAAATGATTATGAGTTTGATGTGATATTTTGTTTTGTTGACTATTTTAGCCTATTTTGTCTTTTAATGCTATTTTAACCAAAAAAAAGCTAAAAACGCTTCTTCCCAAATAGCCCCAATATGTTGGGTCATGCTTAGAGTTGAATATTCAAAAGGATAACAAGGCATAGCCTCTTGACCTTCCATCTCCATGATTTCTTCAAAGTCTATCCCATCCACCATTTCAATGTCTGAGATAGAAATCTCCTCATCTGATTTAACCCATTCTTCAATAGATGGGCTTCTCTTTTGCTTAGGATCTGCTTTGAACTTGCGAGGCAAAATATACACCATATTTATGTTAACACCTAGTAATGAGCTAAATTGGATTTGAACTGGCTTACTTTGTGCCTTTGACCCCTTCAAAGGTTCTGAATTGCTTTCAAGTATCTAGCCTCCCTCTATTTCCATGGGCATAGCTAATTTCAAATCTACATGCTTAGTTTATTCAGTTATCATAGTTTTGAACAAACCATATCCCATTTCCTTTAAGCCATCTGGCTGGCTTTTCTAAATCTTCAAACTCATATTCACTTTCCATCAAGACCTTAGACAAGCCTACTAGATTGGCATTTTCTTCAGCTGTTAATTCAGCATGGAATCAAGCCAATTATTCTCTCTTTCCCTGAGCATAATTATATCTCACATGCTTTTCTCAACCCCTTTTTTCTTTTTCCTTCCCATTTTCTTGGGATTATTTTGATAAAGTCTTGAAGTTCCTTTTGGTGCTTGGTGAATTTCCTTTGGATCTTTCTCTTTTGTGATCTGGAGAGAATAGGCACCAAATTTGGCTGCTTACTCTTTGGATCCTTTAATATGAACCACTGATTAGGTGCTACAGGAGGTGACTTAACCATTTTCAGTTTCTGATCCTGTTGAGATTCAGTCTGACTTGCCTTAGGCCAAGTCTGCAAGGCAAACCAATCGAGGACTTATGGTACCCAGGAATACACCTGCCTTTTTCTTGCAGAATGAGTGTTTGGCGTCAAAGGTCCAACTTCTAGACTTCTCTCAAGTCTTCTCTCCCTATATGATTGGTAGATGGAGTCTATTTTTGAATTCCCATGGGTTCTACCTCTGAATAATTCTCTTGTTCCCCTTCATCTGCCCCAAGTTGTCATTTGAGAAGGATCCACTAGTTCATACGGACCATAAGTTTGGCGTAGCTTGCTTCTAGGCCTTCTGATTACAAAGCTTGGAGTGTTGTCTCTGGGACTGACCTTTTCATGTATTCCTTTGACCTATTTGTAACCTTCTCTGCACCTGGGGCAAACCTTCTGGACAACCGAAGTCTCCAAAGTACATGCGTTAACTAAGTGATCAGACTGTTTTGGGACACGTGAAGAGCCAATTTCTTTAGTCTTTTAAGATGACTTCCTTTCTTTGAAGCAAGTTCTTGCCTCATGTCATTAATCTAGATATCTAGAATATCCAATTCTCTAAGATTCAAGCCTCTATCCAACGCTTGAACGATTGAGTCTGGAACTCCAATATTGGTTTCTACCTCATTTACTTCTAGAAAATAGTCTTTGTCAATTCCCATTGCCTTTTTAGTCTTTGGCTGGAAACTCAAGCATGCCCTTCTTGATCTGCTCCTAAATCTTGTCTCAAAAAACAATACAGTTTTTAGTAGAATGAGACTAAGTATTATGCCATTTACAATACATTTTACCATTTAACTCATTCGAAGTTAACATAACCACTCCTTTAGGAAGCTTTAGAAACTGTGTTGCTAATAAATGATTGAATATTTCATCAACTTTAGAAATATCAAAAGAGTATTTTCTATGAAATTCTTTCTTTTTAAGTTAATGATCTATTGTAGTTTCTTTTTTAACTAAGGTATCAAATACATATGGTTCTTTGCCTACAATTTCAGCAGTCTCTATTTCCATGTTACGGTCTCTATAATAGGTCTAATATGAGGAATTATTCTTATTTTGTTCTTCTTCTAGCAATAATTCGTACTTAGATACTTTATAAGTCAAATCGACTAAGTCTCTAAAAACTGTTGCATTAAACTTCTTTCGAAGCCTAAACTCTAAACCGTTTTGAGCCAATCTGACGAATTCAAGCTCTGAGAGGAGTACTCTACACTTACTTCTGGCCTTTTTAAATCTGGCTATAAATTGAATAGACTTTTCCTCTAACCTTTTGCTTAACTTGCTAAGTCAACCATTGTGACCTCTGGCTCAGCTTAGAAGAATTGTGCATAAAACATTTCCTCCATTTGTGGCCAAGTTTGAACTGTACCAGGTAATAGACTGATGTACCAAGCAAATGTTCGGCTAGTCAATGAACTAAGGAACAATCGAAGCTTCATATAGTCATGATTCGTGTATTCCCCACACTACCCTATGAACCTAGCAATGTGTTCTACAGTTGATTAGTTTCCATTTCCTCTAAACAAGGTAAAATCTAAGACCTTATATCCCCTTGGAAACTCATGTAGCCTATTTACCCAATCAGGTTATGTCTTTGGTGTTTGCACCTCCTAAGCTATAGGACCACATACTTCGCACACCATGTTAAGAAATTGGTCCCTAGGAATAACATTAAAGACACTTTGTTGGGCTTGATATGGCACATATCCTTGATAGATTTGTTGTCTAAGGGCTTGAGGTTGCACATTTTCTATGGCTTACACAAAGGGTGCAGCCATTCGGTCCAAAGGATATATTGTAGGATTTGGTGCTTATTCTTATCCTATGATGTCTTCTTCCCTAAATAGAACAAGTGGTGGCCTAAAAGGTTCTACTGACCTCCCAAGTGTAGGCTCGAAGACTAGATTTGACACCATCCGTATGGTATTCTATGTTTGAGCCTGACCATGCATAGTATCACTAGATGTATTCGAAGATAACATTTGAGGCTCTACATACACATCATGTATTTCTTGAGCATTAGACATTCTTTGATAAGGCCCTAGACCAATTAGAGGTACAGGTCAAACCGGTTCGTAGAATGACTGCGTGTTTCTTGCTCTATTTTTACTACCATTCTTATTGTTACTAGGAACTGCCCTAGGCTAGGTTGACGTTTGAACAAGACTCCTAGTACTTAAAATATGACCCACTTTGACTTATATTTTCCAATCTATTATCAATTCTTTGAACATGTGAAGCTAAATGAATCAGATCAATTTTTTAGGTCTGTAGTCATTATTTGGCTCATTGTGGACATCATTCGACTCCATTGTTCATTTGACATGCTAGGAGTGAATATTAGTTGTTCACTTCTACTCCAACTACTCTGATCAAGTGTTTGGCCTTGAGAGGGTGCATGTTCATATGTTTGGCATTGCAAATGGCCAAATATGTTGAGTAGGTGTATCCATCCTTAGGTGAGGATCTTCTTCTACCTATTGATGGCCATCTAAAGGAAGGCTAGAAGTAGAAGGAGGGTTAGTTATGGCTTCTATTCGAAGCAAAAAATCCTCTTCTTGTATTTCAACATCTTCACCACCTAGATGTTCTTCGCCATGGCATTGTATTCAAACCATATTTTTAACACAAAATTAGTCCCATTAAGCATCCCAAAAAATATATGTTGGCTATTTTTGACACTTCGAATGTTAGAAATGTAATTCAAGCATGCTAGCAAGGATTTGAAAAGTCCTTATAGATAATAAATGTCAATTTTTATCAAGCGATTGTATTAAGGTTCTTTTAGCCTCAAAGAAAAGGACTTTACTATGTTGTGTTGAAAAGATGAACCAAAACTTTAACTTAAATTCGCAATAGAATGTAAGGGAGAGACCGGGCAGAAATTGTAATTGATTAACTAAATAAACAATTACAAAATGTTACATTCGAAACTTTTAAACTGGCCAAATTCTGGAATTACAAGGCTAATCTACTCCTATGAAGTGTAAGTGCAGTGCATAAAACTAAAATGCAGAACTTTAAAGACAAATGAAATTGACAAAGACGTTGCATTTGGTCGGGGGCCGCTTCAGTCTTTGCTGCCATCTATTTATAGCATTCTCTTGACACTTTCGAAGCAATTAGACTGTCATCTTCCACCATGATATCCTCCATTCTCACTACTTCCTAGGGTCATAATCTTCCCTTCATGCATGTGTAATTGCTAGCAACTGCTCATTGTTAACTCCTTCTTCACGTGCCTCTCACATTTGCTCATTGTCTTTATTGGTTGAATTTGTATTCGCGGCTCACATGGACACCTTTAAATGTAGGACTCTTCACTCTCATTAAATACAACAGAATACCCTTTGCCTATCACTTGTCACTTTCGAATTAGATGATTTAAATGTGACGCTAATATAATCAATCAAAAAAGTTACTTTCTAATAAAAGTTCTTAATGTATATTATATTGCACCTAAGCAGAAAGTTATGTTTAGATCAAATTCGAGTAACATCTTACAATTACATAAACATTAATCTTCATGTTAAGCTCTCTCATTTTATGCCAATCTGTGTTGTTCGATCTTATTTAACCTAAAGAGAGAGATAGAGGACAATCAATTTGCTCTTCAGATTATCGCCGGTCATCAGTCACCGTAGTAGAGAGAGAGAGATAGAGAATTAAAAGAAAAGCAAGAAAGAAAGATGAGGCTGCGCATTGCCCTCATCTAAGCCTACGAAAAAAAATAATAATAATAATAAAATAATCTTAGGTAAGGACAATTCAAGTTGAAAAAGAAAAAAAAATTAAATGTGTGGTCCTGTAACTTATTGCGGGTGGGTTATATAAAATCCACAACCCGCCCATAACTTGTAATTTCAACCGCAACAATGATTCATCCCCTTTTTCCTCTCATCCCTTTTGACTCCCTCTCTCTCATTGGTTATATTTTCTTTTTTTTTTTCTTTTTTTTCTGCTCCTCCAATCACCACCCGCCACGTGACAAAAGGAGTGAGGGGGTGACCCCCAAAAAAGAGTCCCAAGCATTATTCTTTCAACCGAAAGCATACTCACATGTGCCTGTACGCATCCTTCCAAATCATTGACGGTTTGTGCGAGTCAGATGATTCTATGCCCACTCTTAATTTTAGTTATAATTTAATTATATATTAATATATTAATGTTATTTTGTCTATAAAAAAAATTAAAAAAAAAAATCCAGCTCACCCTCTCAATTCCCTTAATTTAGGAAATTAAACCCCTAGTAGGACCCGCAAAAAATTCCACGTATACAACAATCATTTGGTATTGTGGGTCACTTGCGCTGAAACGCAAGATATTATTGCCGGTAGATCCAAATTTTCAACGGCTGTGATTTTCGGGTGGGTCAACAATTCAATGCTTAGCTTGCACGAAATTGACATA